TGGTGTTGTGTGTTAGTGTCCTGGTGTTGTGTGTTAGTGTCCTGGTGTTGTGTTAGTGTCCTGGTGTTGTGTTAGTGTCCTGGTGTTGTGTTAGTGTCCTGGTGTTGTGTTAGTGTCCTGGTGTTGGGTGTTAGTGTCCTGGTGTTGTGTTAGTGTCCTGGTGTTTTGTGTTAGTGTCCTGGTGTTGTGTTAGTGTCCTGGTGTTGTGTTAGTGTCCTGGTGTTGTGTTAGTGTCCTGATGTTATTATAAAATATGTCAGCACAATAAAATATAAATATAAGGATTGCCATTAAATATACAGTATGAAATCAGTAATTAAATACAATATATTATGCCACAAAAAATGCTTAAAACAATAACAATTGGTTATTTGACAATACATTTTAGAATGCATGGGTTCTCTATATGAATGAAGCACACACCTATGTATATCTTATTGATTAAACTCTATATTTTGCTCATGGAAACATTTACATATAAACATTTTCACACGTAAATTGGCAGCAGTGTTCACCAGCGACCTTCTAATGGGATTAATGGGATTTGATTGGTGTGTAATGGGGGAGTTGTACATCTAATGGGGTCATGGATGTTCAGATCGCAGCTGCTGCTTACGCTACAAACATTCAATTCTTCTCATGCTCCTTGGTCACCCTGGGGGCAGCCAGGACTATGCTCCTAGGTCACCCTGGGGGCAGCCAGGACCATGCTCCTAGGTCACCCTGGGGGCAGCCAGGACCATGTTCCTTGGTCACTCTGGGGGCAGCCAGGACCATGTTCCTTGGTCACTCTGGGGGCAGCCAGGACTATGCTCCTAGGTCCCCCTGGGGGCAGCCAGGACTATGCTCCTAGGTCACTCTGGGGGCAGCCAGGACTATGCTCCTAGGTCACCCTGGGGGCAGCCAGGACTATGCTCCTAGGTCACCCTGGGGGCAGCCAGGACCATGCTCCTAGGTCACCCTGGGGGCAGCCAGGACTATGCTCCTAGGTCACCCTGGGGGCAGCCAGGACCATGCTCCTAGGTCACCCTGGGGGCAGCCAGGACTATGCTCCTAGGTCAACCTGGGGGCAGCCAGGACTATGCTCCTAGGTCAACCTGGGGGCAGCCAGGACTATGCTCCTAGGTCACCCTGGGGCGGGGGGCAGCCAAGACCATGCTCCTAGGTCAACCTGGGAGCAACCAGGACTATGCTCCTAGGTCACCCTGGGGGCAGCCATGACCATGCTCCTAGGTCACCCTGGGGGCAGCCAGGACTATGCTCCTAGTTCACCCTGGGGGCAGCCAGGACTATGCTCCTAGGTCACCCTGGGGGCAGCCAGGACCATGCTCCTAGGTCACCCTGGGGGCAGCCAGGACTATGCTCCTAGGTCACCCTGGGGGCAGCCAGGACTATGCTCCTAGGTCACCCTGGGGACAGCCAAGGCTATGCTCCTAGGACACCCTGGGGGCAACCAGGACTATGCTCCTAGGACACCCTGGGGGCAGCCAGGACCATGCTCCTAGGTCACCCTGGGGGCAGCCAGGACCATGCTCCTAGGTCACCCTGGGGGCAGCCAGGACCATGCTCCTAGGTCACCCTGGGGGCAGCCATGACCATGCTCCTAGGTCACCCTGGGGGCAGCCAGGACCATGCTCCTAGGTCACCCTGGGGGCAGCCATGACCATGCTCCTAGGTCACCCTGGGGGCAGCCAGGACTATGCTCCTAGGTCACCCTGGGGGCAGCCAGGACCATGCTCCTAGGTCACCCTGGGGGCAGCCAGGACTATGCTCCTAGTTCACCCTGGGGGCAGCCAGGACTATGCTCCTAGGTCACCCTGGGGGCAGCCAGGACCATGCTCCTAGGTCACCCTGGGGGCAGCCAGGACTATGCTCCTAGGTCACCCTGGGGGCAGCCAGGACTATGCTCCTAGGTCACCCTGGGGACAGCCAAGGCTATGTTCCTAGGACACCCTGGGGGCAACCAGGACTATGCTCCTAGGACACCCTGGGGGCAGCCAGGACCATGCTCCTAGGTCACCCTGGGGGCAGCCAGGACCATGCTCCTAGGTCACCCTGGGGGCAGCCAGGACCATGCTCCTAGGTCACCCTGGGGGCAGCCAAGACCATGCTCCTAGGTCAACCTGGGAGCAGCCAGGACTATGCTCCTAGGTCACCCTGGGGGCAGCCAGGACCATGCTCCTAGGTCACCCTGGGGGCAGCCAGGACCATGCTCCTAGGTCACCCTGGGGGCAGCCAGGACCATGCTCCTAGGTCACCCTGGGGGCAGCCAGGGCCATACTCCTAGGTCACTCTGGGGGCAGCCAGGACCATACTCCTAGGTCACCCTGGGGGCAGCCAGGACCATGCTCCTAGGTCACCCTGGGGGCAGCCAGGGCCATGTTCCTAGGTCACCCTGGGGGCAGCCAGGACCATGCTCCTAGGTCACCCTGGGGGCAGCCAGGACTATGCTCCTAGGTCAACCTGGGGGCAGCCAGGACTATGCTCCTAGGTCAACCTGGGGGCAGCCAGGACTATGCTCCTAGGTCACCCTGGGGCGGGGGGCAGCCAAGACCATGCTCCTAGGTCAACCTGGGAGCAGCCAGGACTATGCTCCTAGGTCACCCTGGGGGCAGCCAGGACTATGCTCCTAGGTCACCCTGGGGGCAGCCAGGACTATGCTCCTAGTTCACCCTGGGGGCAGCCAGGACTATGCTCCTAGGTCACCCTGGGGGCAGCCAGGACCATGCTCCTAGGTCACCCTGGGGGCAGCCAGGACTATGCTCCTAGGTCACCCTGGGGGCAGCCAGGACTATGCTCCTAGGTCACCCTGGGGACAGCCAAGGCTATGCTCCTAGGACACCCTGGGGGCAACCAGGACTATGCTCCTAGGACACCCTGGGGGCAGCCAGGACCATGCTCCTAGGTCACCCTGGGGGCAGCCAGGACCATGCTCCTAGGTCACCCTGGGGGCAGCCAGGACCATGCTCCTAGGTCACCCTGGGGGCAGCCATGACCATGCTCCTAGGTCACCCTGGGGGCAGCCAGGACCATGCTCCTAGGTCACCCTGGGGGCAGCCATGACCATGCTCCTAGGTCACCCTGGGGGCAGCCAGGACTATGCTCCTAGGTCACCCTGGGGGCAGCCAGGACCATGCTCCTAGGTCACCCTGGGGGCAGCCAGGACTATGCTCCTAGTTCACCCTGGGGGCAGCCAGGACTATGCTCCTAGGTCACCCTGGGGGCAGCCAGGACCATGCTCCTAGGTCACCCTGGGGGCAGCCAGGACTATGCTCCTAGGTCACCCTGGGGGCAGCCAGGACTATGCTCCTAGGTCACCCTGGGGACAGCCAAGGCTATGTTCCTAGGACACCCTGGGGGCAACCAGGACTATGCTCCTAGGACACCCTGGGGGCAGCCAGGACCATGCTCCTAGGTCACCCTGGGGGCAGCCAGGACCATGCTCCTAGGTCACCCTGGGGGCAGCCAGGACCATGCTCCTAGGTCACCCTGGGGGCAGCCATGACCATGCTCCTAGGTCACCCTGGGGGCAGCCAGGACTATGCTCCTAGGTCACCCTGGGGGCAGCCAGGACCATGCTCCTAGGTCACCCTGGGGGCAGCCAGGACCATACTCCTAGGTCACCCTGGGGGCAGCCAGGACCATGCTCCTAGGTCACCCTGGGGGCAGCCAGGACCATACTCCTAGGTCACTCTGGGAGCAGCCAGGACCATACTCCTAGGTCACCCTGGGGGCAGCCAGGACCATGCTCCTAGGTCACCCTGGGGGCAGCCAGGGCCATGTTCCTAGGTCACCCTGGGGGCAGCCAGGACCATGTTCCTAGGTCACCCTGGGGGCAGCCAGGACCATGCTCCTAGGTCACCCTGGGGGCAGCCAGGACCATACTTCTAGGTCACCCTGGGGGCAGCCAGGACCATGCTCCTAGGTCACCCTGGGGGCAGCCAGGGCCATGTTCCTAGGTCACCCTGGGGGCAGCCAGGACCATGTTCCTAGGTCACCCTGACTGCATTGTTTACATTTCTCGTGGGTAGAGCAGACTGCTCCGGAGCATGTCTTTTAATATGAACACTGCCAGTTAGGAGCAGCTGTACACTATTAATAGTGCAGTTAATACGTCATTAATCGTTACTGGGATAGATAATTACGTGTTTCAGATGGGGGAATTATTTACGAAAATTATAATTTGAGAGGTAAATGGGTTTGAAGGTATCCGTGACACCTGAGGTATAATTTCCTATCCTTATTATATTATTTTGTTAGTTCTCTTAAGTACGTGAATCTTGCATAGGATATCATACCTATAGGTGTGATATTTTATCTTTCAGGTGTGTTTATTGATCTTTAGGTGTGATATTGATCCATTTTAGGTGTGTTTAAATGCCGTTTTTTACCCCCTGTGTGAGCCTTCATATTGCTATTAAAATGGTTTCATTATAGTTCATTCATTGGCTGATTGTAATTCTCATCATCCTGATATTTTGGTATTAGGTTACTGGAGAAAACCGTCACAAAAGAACATTCTGCTGATAAAGAATGTTTGGACGCAACACCTGTAAAGAACACGCCATTTGCAAAGTTTATTAACATTAAACTGAGTTATTAGCGGTTGGCAGGCGGCTCCTTAGTGAGGTGTACACCTCAGGGTACATCATCCACCAATTTTAAAGTATTCCTCTTGAGCTGCAGCGTTGACGAGGCTGCTGACACAAGCCATCAGGACTGGCGGCTCCTGCACTGCCTGGTGATCACCGTAACACACATGGTGAAGCTGCTGGAGCGTCTGGCACACTTTATAATGTTATGTGGACAAGTTTCACACTTGTACCATCAGTGGCACCAATATTGCCACCTCCTCTTCTAGGTGGGTAGTCCTGCACCACCGCCGCCACCTCTACCAGGTGGGTAGTCCTCCACTCCCACTTCAAGGTTGGTAGTCCAGCTTCCAGTTAGATACCCAGCACCACCACCACCTTTATCATCAACACCAACTAAGGAAGGCGTTACAGTGGGCCTAGAGGCGCCCTGGCGTGCTGAAACTTCTCAGTGGACACAAGAGTGTTCCCCTTCCATATGTACACTTGAGAAGGCCTGCCGTTGTACACGTAATTCTTCTTCAGCATGAACCAAGGCAGCTTGGAGGACTTTACCGCCACGGTGGTTGGCGGAGGTGGGTGTGGTGTTGTGGTTGAGGGTCTTGGTGCCACTGTGGTTAACTGTGGTGGCGGCGTGGACGATACCTGCAGCATCGGGGCAGGTTTCTCAGGACCATTGGTTGATAACAACTTCAACCGTTCTATAGTAGAGGTGGTGTGGTGTGGAGGTGATGGCGGTTGTGGTGGAGGTTGTGACGGTGGAGGACTCTGGTTGTGGGAGGTGAGAGGGAGGTTCCAGTGATAAACCTTCTGAGGTTTCCCGTTGTTAACAAATTCTACATACACCTGCAGAAGAGAAGTGAGAGTAATAATGCTGAAACACATGATGACAAAAACAAAACAAAAATAAACAATAAATAATACAGATTTCTTAAAAAAAAAATTATTTTTATTTTACACACACACACACACACACACACACACACACACACACACACACACACACACACACACACACACACACACACACACACACACACACACACACACACACACACACCACACAAACACCACACAAACACACACACACACACACACACACACACACACACACACACACACACACACACACACACACACACACACACACACACACACACACACACACACACACACACACACACACACACACACACACACACACACACACACACACACACACACACACACACACACACACACACACACACACACACACACACACACACACACACACACACACACACACACACACACACACACACACACACACACACACACACACACACACACACACACACACACACACACACACACACACACACACACACACACACACACACACACCACACACACACCACACACACACACCACACACACACACACACACACACACACACACACACACCACACACACACACCACACACACACACACACACCACACACACACACCACACACACACACACACACACACACACACACACACACACACACACACACACACACACACACACACACATACACACACTTAATTGCGTTTAATTTTTTATGTTCATATTTTCATCCTGGTAATTGCTAGCTTACCTGTCGTCACTTCGTAAATGTGATTAGCTTCAAGCAAATTGTCAAGTTCTCTATTTAAGACGCAGATAATGGGGTCTCCTATTTTTCTTTATCTCTGAGATTACCTGACCTTTCTTTTATAATCTCAAGGTCTTTCTCGTCTTCTTTTATGGCTCATTAAGCTAAGATTGATGCATTTGAAAGACCCTTGTCATCTGTGCCCCAAAATAGATTTCAACTTATTAGCAAAACTTTTGATCTAGAAATATGTTAGATGATTGGTGGAGTCGCGCCGGATGGTTTATAGAGTCGCGCCGGATGGTTTATAGAGTCGCGCCGGATGGTTTATAGAGTCGCGCCGGATGGTTGGTGGAGTCGCGCCGGATGGTTTATAGAGTCGCGCCGGATGGTTTATAGAGTCGCGCCGGATGGTTGGTGGAGTCGCGCCGGATGGTTTATAGAGTCGCGCCGGATGGTTGGTGGAGTCGCGCCGGATGGTTTATAGAGTCGCGCCGGATGGTTTATAGAGTCGCGCCGGATGGTTTATAGAGTCGCGCCGGATGGTTGGTGGAGTCGCGCCGGATGGTTTATAGAGTCGCGCCGGATGGTTGGTGGAGTCGCGCCGGATGGTTGGTTGATTAGTGTCAAATGCTACTACAGTTTTCAACTACTTCCTAAAAAAAACTTCTGCCAGATAAATTTCCCAGCTTTATTGATACAGTTTTTTATGAAACAATTAAGAGTCGCCTGGATATGTCTCCCTTTCATTCCGTCAACGTTGGCTGACCTGTTTATAACTCCTATTTCTTGATCATAAGCTGAACTCGCTGCGTTCCGAAGTGTTCATCTGTGTTCTGCTGTTTTGATGCCGTGTTTCATTCATTTTCAATTGTATGTGATATAATTATAATTCCTCCCCCTCCTCATCATCCAATTTATTAATTAATGCGAAACAATTCATACCAATTAATTTGTTTTATTGTTAAAAGTTAGCTGATTTCCACATTCATGTATAGAATGCTTCTATGATTGCAGCAACATCAGTTGTTTCTGTACACAAAAGGATATTGGATCGTTTTACTTATAATACATCATACTTTATACACTTTGAACTTTAAGGTGTCCACACTATCAAATCGTTCCTGTTCATTATCCACACTATAGATCATGTCCACGCCACACGCCATAAATCCACAGAGACCAGAAAATGCCCAGGAACACTGAACGCTTATCAATTGGTCATGGATGGGGTGCATGGTACAGCGACGGTCTCGCTTCATGCAGGTCGGGGTTCAATTCCAGACCGTCCAAGTGGCTGGGCACCATTCCTTCCCCCCGTCCCATCCCAAATCTTTATCCTGACCCCTTCCCAGTGATATATATAGTCGTAATGGCTTGGCGCTTTCCCCTCTGATAATTCCCTCCCCTGCCTCTCCCGCAAGACAGAGTGAGGGTACAGGCAGCACCTACCTGAGGGTACAGGCAGCACCTACCTGAGGGTACAGGCAGCACCTACCTGAGGGTACAGGCTGCACCTACCTGAGGGTACAGGCTGCACCTACCTGAGGGTACAGGCTGCACCTACCTGAGGGTACAGGCTGCACCTACCTGAGGGTACAGGCTGCACCTACCTGAGGGTACAGGCTGCACCTACCTGAGGGTACAGGCTGCACCTACCTGAGGGTACAGGCTGCACCTACCTGAGGGTACAGGCTGCACCTACCTGAGGGTACAGGCTGCACCTACCTGAGGGTACAGGCTGCACCTACCTGAGGGTACAGGCTGCACCTACCAGGCCACTTCGTTACCCCTTAAAGGAGACGGTGACGCTGATTGGTGCCTGACTTCCTTCCGTGTCTTCGGAGGCTCGTCTTGATGACTTCTGTTTACATTTCGGCGCCAATTTATTGATTTGCGTTCTGGGATATATGATTCCCAGCTAACAGGCGTTTATTTTATTTATTTATTTGTTTGTTTTAATTTGGTGTTTTGATCAAATTTTTTTGTTCAAAAAATTTGTTTTGACCAAAATTTTGGATTTGGTGTCTTTCTCTGTCTATTAAATGTTGGATTTTGATATGAACATAAAATTGTTTTTATATAGTAATTTAGATTTCTTCCTTTAGAATAAACAATGAACGTGCTAACATACACCCCAGAACAGGAACGTCAATCACTAGTCAGTGCCTGTGATTGACGATGAGTCACAATAACGTGGCTGAAGATATGTTGACGAAACCACACACCAGAAGATGTGTGGTTTGGCCATCGTCGAAACTATGAGATGTCGGTCCATCTTGGACCATTATCAAGGACTGTGAGGACTTGATAATGTGAGGACTCATACACGACTTGATAATGGTCCAGCACGGGTCAAAACAAAGTCGCTTCTCCATCTTCTGAAGTGTGGTTTGGTCGTCATGCCTGTGATTGAGTTCTATTGTTTACATAATATGTAAATTATAATACAGATTATGATCTGCGATGACAGTGTCAAGAGTGCATGTGCTCTGTAGGCCTAGTAACTGAACTTTGTCACTAGCAGGTCTGTACATAGCTCCTCGGGACTTGTGTGTTTGACTCTGCGTTGAGCTTCTTCCGACTGTAGCCAGCCCCTGGGGTCTTCTGTTGACACTCTTAGGGTTATTGATCTCTCATCTGATGTAGCCAGCCCCTGGGGTCTTCTGTTGACACTCTTAGGGTTATTGATCTCTCATCTGATGTAGCCAGCCCCTGGGGTCTCCTGCAATCACTTATTTCTTACACTACCGAAGCTAGTGACTAGATTCTCCTTAAACAATGGCGAGGTAATTTCTCTTACATCAGCAGATACAGCCTCTGATCTCCTCTCAACACCTGCTCTGACATCTTTATCATCTGAAAATCGACGAAAATCTTTATCGGCTGCTGGCATAGACTGATACACGCACACTGCCGTATTTGGTGTAGCGATGCCGTAGTGTGCAGGCCTGTGAGGGTTTGGTGGTGGTGCGTCACTGCAGGTGGCTATGGAAGGGTGGAGTCTAGATCTTCATGTCCCCTTTACCCCGTGGTGAAGATCTAGGGTACGTAGATTGATTGCTTAGGGAGGCAACTGTGTGGTGGAATAGTTACCTTGTGGAGGGGATGTGTGGCGGCGGAGGTGAAGGTGTTGTGAGAGAAGTAGTACGATGACGGAGGTAGACGGATGAAGTAAATAGGTGACTCTCCTGTCAGGCGCTGTCCCTGCACCACCTTCACCTGTCCCGCGCGGCTCTGGCCCAGATGACGTACCACCTGAAGGAGACGGTGGACGATGAGTCAAAGGGTAAAATGAGTGGGGACAGGAAGAGGAAATTGAGACAGAGTAAGACACAGTGAAGGAAGATCAAGTGAGAGCTATACAGAGGAGAGACTATCAGTGAGCAGCTCAGATTCGACGAAGTCCGAATGCCAGAAAGATCTGGGGCCAGATTCACGAAAGCACTTACGCAAACACTTACGAATCTGTCCATCTTTTCTCAATCTTTGGCGGCTTTGTTTCCAATTATTAAACAGTTAATGAGCTCCGAAGCACCAAGAGGCTGTTTATAACAATAACAACAGTTGAATGGAAGTTTTCATGCTTGTAAACTGTTTAATAAATGTGACGAAAGCCGTCAAAGATTGAGGAAAGATGTACACGTTCGTAAGTGCTTGCGTAAGTGCTTTCGTGAATCTGGCCCCTGGAAGTCATGATTCGTGCGTATCTTAAGTAAAAAGAAACTAACGCACAACTATGCTGAATAAAGCAAATAAGATAATAAATTCTTTCTAGAGGCGTTAGTAAAAAGAAATCTGATATTATTCTTCATCTTTATCATGGCCTTCTTAAGCCCCCATTTAGATTACGCAGCTCACTTTTGATTATCATTCTGTAGAATCTACATAACTTCACCTGGACTTGTGCAGAGAAAGTTGGCTACGTTAATCCCAGGAATTATGACCCTTATCAAGAGAGATTAAAAAAAAACTTTATTTACAATTTCTTTAAAGACGAATAGAAGTGATGTGATTATGTTGAACCAAGTTATCACTAGTCAAGCCTGGCCTCAAGCCGGGCAAAGTTATCAAGTTATAAAGGAACCCCCAGAATCCATTCTTAAGTATACTCCAGGCATATGAGTATATAAATGGTTAAAAGAGTATAACAAAAAGGATATATACAAGGTTTCAAATATATTAATACAAAACAGAACTAAGTAATGTATATAAAATAGTGAAGTTCGGAGTCGGGAATGGCCTGGATAAATACTGGTTTAAAAACAAAGTTGTTGATATATAGAACAAATTATCACTGGATTGTTTCGAGCGTAGATTCGACGTATATGTGATAGAGTTTGGATGGATGTAAATAGGAGCTATCTAGTATATGGGCCAATAGGGTTTCTTCATGCTTATTTCATTTTATTTTATTTTATTTTATTTTTTTTTACTCTGACATTGCTTTTAGTATGTGTGCATCAGTTTTAACGCGATACAAAGCAACGAACATGGGAGAAATTAAACGTACGAGACTACGAAACTGAAGCAAACAGACTGAGAACAAACAAAATTAACGATAAACAGAAAGGGGAAGTTGACCAGACCACACACTAGAAGGTGAAGGGACAATCGACTTGAGAATGGTCCAGGACGGACCGAAACGTCGTCGTCCCTTCACCTTCTAGTGTGTGGTCTGGTCAACTTACTTTAGCCACGTTATTGTGACTCATCGCCTGCAGAAAGGGGAAGCCTCTGGCCATACACTGTTGTAGGTCAACTTTGTGAAAGAGAAAACATGCACTCTCTTGAACATTATATTGTAGAATGTCCCATACTGACTGACTTTCGCCCTCCTGGGCTAAGGTATGCTGAACTCTGTAGTTACTATATGAGTACTGGAACACTTGATGATATATTGGACTTGTATCCAAGATTGACCATGTAATATATCAATCATACAATGTATATATATGATGTAACTATATAACCTGAGCTTGTAAAAGCACCTTCATCACCTTCAGTGATTAAGTGCTTAATTGCACACTAGTTTCTTTATCAGCTACCTCACCCTGTCAGAGTAAATGAGACAAATGTATATGAATGCATGTGTGTGTGTGTATATATATGTATGTATATGTGTGTGTGTGTATGTATATGTATGGGTATAAAGTATATATGGAAGCTGATCAGAATTACATTTCACCTTTGTGAATGTACATTAATGACACTATGTAAAAGACACATCTAACACTTTATGTAGGGCATACGTAAATCTGTGTATCTATGTATTTACGTATGTAGGTTAGCTTAGCATTTTAAAAGCACCGAATCACCTTCTGTGGTTGAGTGTTCAATAAACCCTTGAACTATATGTTTAACACTTCTCTAACCCTGTCCATGGAGGACAGAAGAAAATGTATATATGCTGGTTAGCATTGTAAATGTGTGGCCACGTCTGTGGTAGAAAAATAATAAAAAAAAAAAACTGTTGAAGGCTGGGCGGGATACGCCCCTCAAGGCCCAAACCTCCCCGTCATTACCAGAGATGAATGGCCACACGGCCACACAACGCCTCATAATTACCCGGGTCATTGTGAATTACTGATGATGCATTTACTCTCTAGTGGAAGCCATTACGGCTTTTGGTGAGGGGGGGGAGGGGGGCCATTAAAGTATGGGAGATATCTGCCTTTTCGTTAAGTTTTTTGAAAAATATTTATTACAAAATTATATTGTATGTTCAAGATTCTGGACAATAATAATGTAAATAATAATACTAGTGGACATTATAATAATTTTGATCAATGGTATAATCACGTAACAGCAGCAATAATATTAATAATAATTGCAATGAAATCACAGTGGCGTGATATATCAATGAAAATTATTTTTGAGGCAATGGAGTAACCTGAACTCGCGTTCTGGTGGCTCCCAGACACCTGTCTTAACCGACTTGGCCACGATGGTACAAAAGTCGATCAACCCGGAGCCCAACCAGGGTTTTACAGTCAACCCGACCACACTCTGGCCCGCGGTCATGGCGTTCACACTCTTACTGAGGAAGAGGTCATGTTCATGGTTGATACCTGGAGGCTTGATTAACGTGATATTTCCACGACCATAACACGGCTAACTTCCACACTTATATATTATATGAAATAATAATATTTTCACACAGTAAGGTGTTGACTTCACCCATTATACTCCAGGTGTACCTGGAGTGTAGACACTCGACCCTTCGGCCATATTGTCCAGATGTACCTGGGGTGGACACACTCGACCCTCCGGTCATGTAGTCCGGATGTACCTGGGTTGTAGACACTCGACCCTCCGGTCATGTAGTCCGGATGTACCTGGGGTGTAGACACTCGACCCTCCGGTCATGTAGTCCGGATGTACCTGGGGTGTAGACACTCGACCCTCCGGTCATGTAGTCCGGATGTACCTGGGGTGTAGACACTCGACCCTCCGGTCATGTAGTCCGGATGTACCTGGGTTGTAGACACTCGACCCTCCGGTCATGTAGTCCGGATGTACCTGGGGTGGACACACTCGACCCTCCGACCATATTGACCAGATGTACCTGGGATGGACACACTCGACCCTTCGGCCATATTGTCCAGATGTACCTGGGGTGGACACACTCGACCCTCCGGCCATATAGTCCGGATGTACCTGGGGTGGACACACTCGACCCTCCGGCCATATAGTCCGGATGTACCTGGGGTGCACACACTCGACCCTCCGGCCATATAGTCCGGATGTACCTGGGATGGACACACTCGACCCTCCGGCCATATAGTCCGGATGTACCTGGGGTGGACACACTCGACCCTCCGGCCATATAGTCCGGATGTACCTGGGATGGACACACTCGACCCTCCGGCCATATAGTCCGGATGTACCTGGGATGGACACACTCGACCCTCCTGCCATATAGTCCGGATGTACCTGGGGTGGACACACTCGACCCTCCGGCCATATAGTCCGGATGTACCTGGGATGGACACACTCGACCCTCCGGCCATATAGCCCCACATGTTTATCCTCCAATATAAAATAGCAATTTGTTCATGTGGTGTATCCCGGTAATGTCACCAGGTTCCATACAAAGGCATGAGACTCACGCAAGGGATATACCCACTCATTTTGTGTCTCCTGCGTGGCTGTTGCTATGTGTCACGTTAATGCTGATGTTTGGGGCTATTGCTCTAGCTTCCCTTGTTGCTGCTGCTGTTGTTTCCATGACTGTTGTCTATGCTTTTTTCTGCTGTTATCTCAGTAGAGGCTTCACCGTGACCCTTGACGACAGTAGAGGCTTCACCGTGACCCTTGACGACAGTAGAGGCTTCATCGTGACCCTTGACGACAGTAGAGGCTTCATCGTGACCCTTGACGACAGTAGAGGCTTCACCGTGACCCTTGACGACAGTAGAGGCTTCACCGTGACCCTTGACGACAGTAGAGGCTTCACCGTGACCCTTGACGACAGTAGAGGCTTCACCGTGACCCTTGACGACAGTAGAGGCTTCACCGTGACCCTTGACGACAGTAGAGGCTTCACCGTGACCCTTGACGACAGTAGAGGCTTCATCGTGACCCTTGACGACAGTAGAGGCTTCATCGTGACCCTTGACGACAGTAGAGGCTTCACCGTGACCCTTGACGACAGTAGAGGCTTCACCGTGACCCTTGACGACAGTAGAGGCTTCATCGTGACCCTTGACGACAGTAGAGGCTTCACCGTGACCCTTGACGACAGTAGAGGCTTCACCGTGACCCTTGACGACAGTAGAGGCTTCACCGTGACCCTTGACGACAGTAGAGGCTTCACCGTGACCCTTGACGACAGTAGAGGCTTCACCGTGACCCTTGACGACACCATCTGCAGGAAATCAGTATGGAGGGCTTCCTCCGGAGGAGAGAGAGGCGGAAATCAAGTGGTAATAATCGAACGATGAGCGCCGTGATTTACTTCCTGGCCTCGTGCTGAAGTGCGTCACTTTCTAGTCCGCACGGGAAGTGAGCGGTACGTGGGGGAGGTCTAGCCGCGAGTGTCTTTTTCTTAATGACGAGGAAGGTGTCCCAGCGGGAGGGTGCCTCGGACTCTGCTTACAGTACTCTTAGTCTAAACAGTCCCCGCGGCGCAGTGGTAAAGCACTCGCTCGGCGCTTCGCGGGCGCTTTGGCCTGGGTTCGTATCCTGGCCGGGGAGGATTGATTGGGCACCAGTTCTTATCTGTAGCCTCTGTTCATCCAGCAGTGAATGGGTACCTGGTTGTAAAACGATTTGGCGGATCGTATTCCGGGGGAAATTAGGATTAAGGACCTGCCCGAAACGCTATGCATGCTAGTACAAGGTTGTAAGAATTCTTGTATATAGAAATAAATAAATATATACAAATAAATAAAATAAATAAAATTATCAATTGCAATGTTGGTAATAGAGTTACCCGTCCTTACTCTAGACTTGCATTGCGTTTTCATTTCAAGCCACTGAAGGAAAAGCTAACAAGGTGACCGAAAGATGAACTATTGAAATGCTAACGATGGCGGGATGATTGTTTTTGTTTTCCCAAATATGAGGTGATAACTTCGGCTTCACAACTCCTTTGTTTTGTCGACAATATGTCTGTGCAGTTTGCTTCTATTAAGAAAGGTAGCAGTGTTGAACAAATCCACAAGGGCCGTGACGAGGATTCGAACCTGCGTCCGGGAGCATCCCAGACACTGCCTTAATCGACTGAGCTACGACAGGGTAAAAGGATGCTCCCGGACGCAGGTTCGAATCCTCGTCACGGCCCTTGTGGATTTGTTCATTTGATGCATCACGTTAGTGTGATCTCTATGTGTGTAGCAGTGTTGTCTATTTCGACGACAAGCTGTGCATTTTAACTATTTGTATTTACTATTTGTATCTGCAGAATCGAGAAATTAGCTCTTGGACCCCTGCCTTTTTAACCAATTTATTTTTCCTCTATTATGTCTACTACATATATTTCTTTTACACACGCACACATTCCCAGGAAGTATCCCGTAGCACCGTAGCAGCTGTCTAACTCCCAGGTACCTATATACTGCTAAGTGAACAGGAGCATCAGGGTGAAAAAACTTTGACCATTTGTTTCTGTCTCTTCCGGGGATCAAACCCGGGCCCTTAGGACTACGACTCCAGGGCACTGTCTACTCAGCCGCGAGTTTCGGCTGAGTTTACTGGGCGAGACTTTACTTAATATATATATATATATATATATATATATATATATATATATATATATATATATATATATATATAAATGTCGTACCTAGTAGCCAGAACGCACTTGTCAGCCTACTATGCAAGGCCCGATTTGCCTAATAAGCCAAGTTTTCATGAAATAATTGTTTTTCGACTACCTAACCTACCTAACTTAACCTAACCTAGCTTTTTCGGCTACATAACCTAACCTAACCTATAAAGATAGGTTAGGTTAGGTTAGGTAGGGTTGGTTAGGTTCGGTCATATATCTACGTTAATTTGAACTTCAATTAAAAAAAATTACCTCATACATAATGAAATGGGTACCTTTATCATTCCATAAGAAAAAAATTAGAGAAAATATATTAATTCAGGAAAACTTGGCTTATTAGGCAAATCGGGCCTTGCATAGTAGGCCGAGAAGTGCATTCTGGCTACTAGGTACAACATATATATATATATATGTCGTACCTAGTAGCCAGAACGCACTTCTCAGCCTACTATGCAAGGCCCGATTTGCCTAATTAGCCAAGTTTTCATGAATTAATTGTTTTTCAACTACCTAACCTAACCTATAAAGATAGCTTAGAATAGGTTAAGTAGGGTTGGTTAGGTTCGGTCATATATCTACGTTAATTTTAACTCCAATAAAAAAATTGACCTCATACATAATGAAATGGGTAGTGTTATCATTTCATAAGAAAAAAAATAGAGAAAATATATTAATTCATGAAAACTTGGCTTATTAGGCAAATCGGGCGTTGCATAGTAGGCTGAAAAGTGCGTTCTGGCTACTAGGTACGACATATATATATATATATGGCAGGTAATATATATTATCTAGACATAACCGACTTAATTTAGACATAACCTAATTAACCTAGCTTAGACCAGCCATTACCTAACCAAGAGGTAACTTAGCACAAAACCATAATGAGTAACAATATTGGTATGTGATAGTCTCGTTTGATTACACTTTGTGAGAAATATTACGAGATAACTCTCCGAAACGTCAGCGATATTGTCGGGTAAGAGTTTTGGATGAGTTTAGATTAATGCCGAGAACTGTGAGGTGGTCTACCCTGGTGCTATAGGGATTTGTTTTTACGAGTATTACATGAATTGCTTGTCTGTCAACTTCAACATTAACAACTTCCTCGCCCTATTCTGGTGCAGAGGGCGAGGACCGAAGTGCTTGACGGATAGTTTCGGAGGCCACTGTGTCCGGATATCAAACTTTCCTTCCCCTGTCAAAGTTGAAGATGGTGGAGTGATGGATTGAACTAATGGAGGGTGGAATGGAAGATGTTGGTTGAGAAGCAGGTTTACCTCGAGTGCTCCAGAGGAAGTCCTGCTCCTGGGCCCCGGCACCGACCTCGCCTTCGTCAACACCACCAGTACACTGAAAGAGATACAGATATATTAAGATCCATTGGTAGATCCTGCAGAATTTGTTTTTGTCAACTCTCGAGTGGAGATGGACCGTCAACCACGGGTGGCGCCGGACCGTCAACCACGGGTGGCGCCGGACCGTCAACCACGGGTGGCGCCGGACCGTCAACCCCGCCAGTTAACGTCAAGGAACGAGAAGTATCACTCGATAACGCACATATACCCTGAAGGTCTGCGGATAATCACACGAAAATTATTGAATAGATTCTGTGCTTGTGCAATATCGGAGGAGAGCCGCGTGGCCGAGCCTTCGCTACGCGAGCATCGCAACCCAACACCCTCTGGTTAAACAGGAACGGAAGGTATACAGTGCGCCAGGGAAAGAATATAGAATGACCTCTCTTAAAGAACTCTGTGATATAGAATAACGCGAGAAAAAGCGAAAGAATTTAACTTGCATGCACCAAGAGGTGCATTCTTCTTCTGGGTGTATATGTACGACTTTTACATTGTAAAAGTATTTGTGTGTTTTGGTCGACAGGCTGTTTCAACGGGCATTAATTACGTTGGAAATGCTGTCATATATCATACATCTTGTTTGGAAGTTTGTTCCAGAGGGAAGGCCGTGTAGTGAAGCAAATGCGGGGCGACGCGTTTGTGAACCTAACAAAACAGCATCGACCAGGTACATATATTTTGCATTGGAGTCACTGGTGTGTCATTAAAATATATAAAGATCGATTAAGATGGCCAACAGCTTCCGAAAACGGTCATGGTAGATCTGGACCGACCCACATCACCTCTCAAGCGGGAAATGTGTACACGCTGGGGAAGGCACCACACATAGTAGGCTCTGTACGTATCATGAAAGAGACAGAGAGACTGACAGACAGACAGACAGACAGACAGACAGACAGACAGACAGACAGACAGACAGACAGACAGACAGACAGACAGACAGACACAGACAGCAGTATAAACCCCACCTCAGCCAGGCCGTGTGCTTGGCATGCCTCCGGGATAGCGTTACGTGTCCAGGTAATTAACTCAAATGAGGTGAAGAGACTGCCTCCCTCACCCAGCCCCTGGCCACCGTGGAGCCCCGAGACCCCCTCCTGCCGGTGGTCAATAGAGGAGGACGCTCCCCTCCCAGCACTGCCCCCTCGGCCAGGTCACCCCACGTTAATTAAGGCTCTTGTCGTGGAGAAGCTTTGTAAGACGTCGTGGTGCTGATTGGTGTGTGTGTGTGTGCTCGCCTTGGTGTGCTTACAGGGGCAAGTATAATGACTTTCCTTCCCGTTTCTCGTCGGATTCCTGTTTGAAATACGTTCCCTCCAGCACAGATGGACGCCACGACCCTGGCGTCCTGGGTGGCGTCGGACCGTCGCGTGTTCTCAGGTCGTGGCGTTTC